CTGCCTCACACAATATGTTATTTCCTTGAAAAAAAAAACAAGAAAACAAAACACTTAACCTTAAGCAGGACACGTAGAATATATAAAAAAATATGAGCATCTCTTTTATTCTTCCACCATTCATTGAATTTGGTTTACCAGTGTTTCAGACAACCACGTTCCACGATCATTCACCGGGTAACACACATTGATCTAGCTTTGAGAACTAGTTTTAGGACTTTTTATGTATTTATGTCACACAGCAATATGAAGAAGAGTTTTGTTGAGGGTCTCAGGAGTAATTTCCAAAAAGTGTCCCTCCAGGTTGAGCAGACAGAAAATAAACTCTTTAGGATTGCTGCCTTCCCTTTGCGGAAACCCCACAGAAATACAGCCTGAAGCCTCAGGGAGCCGATGCTGCTTGTGGTGGTGAAAGTCACTTCAGGCAGATGAATTTGTTGGAATATTTTATCACAGCTTGCTCTCTCTCATTTCCCCTATCTCTTTGTGTCAGTTATTATCTCCACTGTTTTTATGGAACAATAGATTTCTTCCAATTAGACTTCAAACTTACTGTTTGCTGAACATCATCATAAACAAATACTAATTTGCAATATTTTTCTTTAGGCAGTTGTTTTTAATTTGTTAACCTGCCATATCTGATTTAAATTAATTTGTGACTTACTTTAAAACAAGAACAACAACAGTAAATTTAGAGCAACATTGTTAGGGGTAAATTTTAAGCTGTTACAAAAGAAATATTGAAAAATATCTCTACTTATAATAAGTGATGTATTACTTAATTACTATTAGAAAGGTATTCACGCTGTAGTTGAGAAAAATTTAGACAAGTAAGAAACTGATGAGGATTACTTTTATATTTAAAAAGTATGCTTTTACATCGTATTTGGAATTGTGGCACAAAATAGCTTTCATGACAGAAATTGAGAAAATTTTTAAAAAAGTGAGCAAGATAGCCCAAAAAGAATCCAAGGATTGCAGAGTGATGCTTTTAGATTCTGAAAACCGAACATGAGCTTTAATGCGCAATACAATGGCTACGCATGCCAACGATTTTAAGTCAGTAAGAATTTAAATTCGTAAGCTGAAGATTTATATGATGATTGTAATGAACCAGCCTAGTTATTCAGTCCCTTACATTCCTTTATAAGAAAGAGCTCCATATTTTTCTTTCTAAGCCTCTGTGCAGGGCATCAGACTGTCTCCTGCAAAAAAACCCAGCTATTTCAGAAATGACCTCATTTTATGGCCTGCCTAAAATATTTCTATGTGTATACAGTTGTCCGTCCCTTGGATGTCATTGGCATATCTCTGAAGCAGTTTTCTCAACTATGAATAATTCACCAGATATTATTCCAAAGGTCATCTTATAGTAATTAGTACCCTGCTGTTGACTAAACAGCCTCTGGGCACCTGATGGCCAGTTTAATTACAATTTAAAATGAGTGTACTGTTTGACGATCTCTATATGTTCTCTTGACACTTGAACAGATGACACCTTGAGAACTAAGTAGGCGTACAATCAGTTGGGCTTGTTAGCATATTGGTAAGGAGTATTGTGCTTGTATGTGTCAGCCTGCTGGTAAAACCACATTTTCTTTCTGCTAAAATATGCGGTAATTACTGGAAATACAGATTGTTGTTGTTGGGTATGTGTTTTGACAGTGCAGATATTCTTTGGACCATTACTGTCTTATTATTAGCCAATTACCATGGAAAACTAACAGAGCAGGTCACAGCAGACTCCGTAAGGAGACTGGGGACTGAACATATGCTGAGGAGACTTTGAGATGACACAGTCCAGAGAGGCTTTGGAGAGTTACCAGCTAGGTGTCATGGCTTTTGTGTCTCACAAGTACTGAGAAATTCTGTCATGTCCTGTTGCTGTAAACATCAACCCTTGCACTGTGATGTGTGCTGGAGGTTTCCTCTTAAACGACTCACATTTTTTCATAAACGAATAGCGGCTAAAGCATTAGGGTAAAAACAGCCTCAGGTAGCATAGGAGCTTGAGGGGTTGAGGCTGTAAGAGATGCTTTGAGGCTTTAAATTTTACATGGATGGGATAATGACTTACATAGAAGGATGAATAAATAAAAAGATTGAAAGTAGAAGCTCATTGTGAATTGTTTCCAAATAGATGGAAACAATTATTTTGTTTAAATTAATAAACAGTTATATTCAACAAATAACAATGTTAGTGAAAAGTTTCATTATTTCCATGAGTGAAGAATATGAATAGACTGAATACATCAACTATTTTCAAGCTTTATATATATATTTTTTATTTTAAAGAAAATAACATCCTGCTCTGTTCAATTTTAGACTATTACATTTCTATTTCAGTCCATAAATATATAAGACCTCCTCCAAAAACACCTTTATAACTATCCTCTTTCATAGTTCAAAAACCAAACAATATGCATTAACGCGTACATCAAAAACCGTTTTTATACTACAAAAGAAGCAAATGTGTTCCTTATCGCTGCTCTTGGGTTTATAAATAGTGCTCAAGGATTGGCTGTTTTGAAAATGGCAGCCAATAGTGTGACTCTCAGCTTCCAATTTACATTTTCTTTCAAACATTTTAGATATGTGCTACAAAATAAATGTAAATGGGGAAGTTCTGCAAAAATTTGAAATTATGATCCAAAGAAATGTAATTATACATGAGTTTACTGTAATATATTTACACTGCTTATTGAATAATACTGTAAGAGATGCATATCTAAGAGATGCATATCCCAGATTGGATTTTTTTGCTTAAACATCAGTTCATTTATTTTTCTACTAGATTGACATATGCCTCTTTTTAATGTAATGTTTAATGGAAAAACATACAACATCCATTGTTGTACATGTACATTCATTGTGTAAAATGCTCTAAATGTAACATCTCCACTCAAGAGAGTCAAGGTAAAGATGGGTTGATTTTAAGGGAAGTTTAAATCCTCACCAGAAAGTTGCTTTTGAGCAAGTCTTTCAGTGAAGTCAAATGACTCATATCATTTTAGACTTCTGCCGTTTCTAATTTTGCTTTCATTTCAAATGCACAAAATCGGTGTATATATAAAACACTCGCCTTTAGGTATGCATGATTAGTTTGCGTAAGATCAAATTATGACTTACAGTTATGTTCCAAAAATGTGTGACCCCACATTTTTGGTGGTGTTTAAAAATGAAACGAACAAAATCTTGAGTTTATGTGTAACCAAGGCAACTAACACAATGAATGACTCCAACATAACATTATCTTTGTGCCGTTAGTGTGTACTCCAAGTTTCACTCTCAATAGCTATAAAGGCTATGAATGATGTGCAGCGTGGTCTGAACCCAGTGTGACCAAAGCACACACACATTTCATTGTGAACTCTGTATCAGTAACAAATGCCTCATAAAGGTAGAAACACAAAAAGCAGTGAGCAGAAGTAAGTGCGTCACCTTTTGCAAGTTTGAATGTAATACAAATTGAAATATTCTTTATTATTCCTCAATGGAAAATTATCCTGTCTGAAATTATATTTTTTCTGTCTTCCTTCTTTTACTGTCTACTTGGTTAACTAAATCTATTTGGCCTAAGTTTTTTCTTCTGAAATTATTCAAATGCCTCCACCTCACCCAGCACCTACACTGATGGCTTAGAACTTATTTCAAATAGCAAAAATAGCATTTTATAGCAAAATAATCTGAGATTTTGTGACTAAAACACTGCTAAGTGTTCCACTCTGACTGGCAGATCTATGTATGTTTTGACCTGATACATCTGATAAACATTTAGAACAAGAGTAAATACAGCAAAGATCAGACTGTGTCAGAGGTGTATGCCCTTATTTACCGTAATTCTCAATAAATAAGAACATGTCTTTTGACGAAGCTTGTTTGTCAGTTTATAAGAACCCTTTGAAAATTAACCTTTAACCATGAATTAAACATATGATTCATGAAGCCCACATTTCTGTACTGAAAATATTGTTTTTCTTTTATTGGTCTGAAAAAAATTCTTAACCTTCCAAGAAACTAAATGTCATGTTTTCTTTACCTGTAAGCAACTATCAAGAAAAAAGAAAAAACAACTTTGAAAACAGCCTGTTTTTGTAATTAATCTCTATATTGCGTTTCACTCATGGAGCTATATATTGAATATGACGGAAGGAGTTTGTGAACCTTCATCTGTTTGAGACATAACTACACACATTCAGTATTGCACACTTCTCAACAGTTATGGCATTATAAAATAAAGATAACTTTTATGTGAAAATATGAAACGTATCTTTGGTAACATCTCTTGCAGAGAGGTTCATCCATTTCAAAGTTGACATTACAGTAATTCTTTGTGCAAGTAAAAGGAGAAAAAAGTTATATTTGTTAATGAAACTGAAAAAGCCTTTTGTTTCTTACTATGACTTTGAAAAAATACCGGGGCTATAAAGCCATGCCTTTTTGAAATCGCCTTACATTTTAGAAACTTTTAGGAAGCCCTATAGCTGTCCCTAATTTAGAAAATGCAGGATTGAGATTAGAACCAAAGAGAATAGGTGAAGTATGATGTTGGCAAATGAATGCAAATAACATCACATTAGGTTGTTAAAATGTACAATTTGCTATCTCTACAAAGATAATAGTTTTGAATATATGTCTGTAGTTTGACTGGTTCATCCTGAAACAATGAATCTCCTCATTTCTAAACAAGTGTACTCTAGCTCAGGCAGTATGTTTAACGTCATTGTCCCATTGGAAGGAGAGCCACAAGAATCACAAGGATATCTTTTATACTTTTTAACTTCCCCTTGCGATTCAAAACTCAAATAATTTCCTCTTTATTATTGTCTTATTTTCGAGAACTAAAACTGCCTCATACCATTTTCTGCTTAGTTTACACAATATTTCACTTGTCATGAGAAAAATACGGAAAAATATTTGTCCGTAACAACAAAAGCTGCCGGAAGAATCACATCAAACAATAAGAAACATTTAGAAAAAACTGGATCCGTGCATTCTTTGAGGTCTCAATATTTAATGGCTCAATTAAAATTCATAGCAAGGTATTTTTTCATAGAATTAAGGTGGATATCTTACAAAGGCATGACAACACAGACCGTATAGCTTTAACGGACTAATACAGATTTGCTGGCAAGCATTGAAGCCGTCTCATAAAGCAAACTTTACCTGACTCACAGATGACTAATTTACAAGCATATACTTAAGTCTTCTATCATGTTTTATATTCTTTTTGTACAAGATACATTTGTGTACACAAAATCGTTCAGCAAGGTGTGTGGTAGTTCACCCACTCATACAGACGCTCGTACGCTTGCAAGGAGGCACATGCTCACCTGCAAATACACAAGATCACCTATAAACACATTCAATCTAATGAATTTTATGCATATGTAGTCATTTACATTACAACAGAGATTGTCATCTCATAACTTCCAATGTATTTCCCTTTTTGTTTGTTGTGAACCAAGTAAATTCCAGTTCTTTCAAGTCTTTCAAGTTTGTAACCACCATCATTTCTTAGGGGGTACTGCTATATACAATTTCAAATCCAGATCAAGTGACTGTATAGATATTTGTGACTCTGTAGAGGTATATGTGGTATGGTAACTTCACAAGATTTGAATGTGTACACTGTATAACATTTGTCTTGCTCCATTAAATGGAGGAACAGGAAGAGGAGTTAATATCTACACGGATACCGGTTCTAAAGATGTGGATGCATGAAGCACATGGTCCACAAAATGTCAAAATGTCGTTTCAGAGTCCAAACAGTTCATGCAAACTATGACACAGAGTTGACATGGTGATCTATAACACTCACCCTTAAAGTACATGGTGAGAAAGGAAAGACTGCTTTTTTTATTTTTTTATATGTATATATATTTTTCAGTTTTTTGTCTTTGCAGTGAAATGACAAAAGAAAATATGAAAACAGTGAGAGCACAATCATGCAAAGTGAAAACTTGTGACCATTAATCATTTGGACTTTTCCAATAATTCTATAGACAAAGTAATCTTGACACAGAAACAAAAACAGTTCCCCAGAGCTGCCTTATGTTGTAAAATAATAATAGGCATTCAAATGATATGACTTTGCTTAAAAAAAAATAAAAATACATCACCCAATATACATAAGGAACAACATGATAAAACCAAATGCAGCCAAGTTTTCAAGAACAAAAGAAACATACAAATTGGGCTTTGCATGGAACTAATTTATATTCTTGACTTCATTTGTTATACTTGAAGGGAGGAAGTGTAATGTTTACTTAAGATAGGTTACTGGATATTGACAGTTTAAGCTAATTTTCATAACAGTGCGATAGTGGGTATATCATTACATACCAATACTACACACACACTCACTGGCCACTTTTTTAGGTAAGCCTTCCTAATAAAGTGTTGGACCTCTTTTTTTTAATCTCCGGAGCATCCTTAATTCAGTGTGGACTATGTCCAAAAAAATGTTGAAAACATTCCTCTGATACAATATCAACGTTGAGAGGATCGCATCTTACAGTTGCTGCGCATCCAAGATTTTCTCTTCAGCCTCACCCCAGAGGTGGTTAATATTTATTGAACATGAATGATTGTTATTGATGCTCTTTAAACTTAGTAGATTGGCAATTCAATATAGTCTCAATAAAGGTATTATTTTAGCTGTACAGCACTTTGGTTAAGTGCTGTTGTTTTTAAATGTGCCATAGAAATACATGTAACTTTGATTTAGTCTTGCTATGTGGGTGGGGAGACTAAGAAAAGGGACCATTTTCAATGTATCTATAAACAATTCAACAAAATAAAATTTCTAAAGCCTCTCTTCAAAAAAAATCTTATTGTTATTTGATAATTTTGTGGGGAGTTTTAACAGATTTATCTGCCATGGAAATTCAAAGGTGTCAAGAAACTGAAAATATTTATGAATATTTCCAGGCAACTTTTGTATAAAATATTACAGGTGTCTGATATGTGGAGCTGAATCTACATTTGGCACAGTGATAAAACTCCAATTTTCTCTGACATTATGATGTATGCTCCCTTTGATATGCGATCGTTTTGATTAAAAATGCATTAGGAATACCACTCAGTCTGCTAGAACAATGAGAGAAGAAAAGAAAGTAGAACAAGATAGAAGGAAAGTCAAAGTATTGGTAAATTAGCTGAAATTGGGTTCTCAGATGGGGAGATTTTCTCAAACAGATGTGTATGGGAGGGTATAGCGAAGTTGACTGATTTGAATTCAATTCATTTTCATAATTGACTGAGGTGAAATTGAACTGCCCTTTCTTTGTCCTTGACACACTGTCCCCTTAAGTGATCATTTCAGTGAATATCAAATAAATCTCCTTTATATTGTTAAGAGGCATTATTCGAGAGAGTAAAATAGCTAAGAGCATACAAACACAATTTGCCTCACATTTTCCCTCGAGGATATGGTGCTATGTTATAGATTTAGGCCTGCTCCCAATTTGCAAGACGCTACAAGAAAATGAATTGCATGAGTCATATATCTGATGATGTCGACACCTGGTTCGGATGGTACAGAAAAAAAAATGGATATCAGCAAAGTTACTTATTGTTGTGGCAATACATTATGCTGCACCCAATCTGTTACAAGTTAGTCAGAAGTAGTTATTATCAGAGAAAATTTGCATGTTTGGGCAAAGATGTCATTTTAAACCGTGTGAGAAATGACCTTCTGGGGGCACCTCTTAAAGAAATCCCAGGGTTTATTATAATAAGTGCAGAAGGAACACAAAGTAAAATAATACAGGTAGACTTCAAATGCTGTTAAAATTCTAGCTGGCTGGGATTTATTTTCTAGTTCCAACAAAATGTAAAAGCTGATCTTAGAAACCCACCAACTTGCAACAATTGATGTGTGAAATGCTTTTGTTAATACCATAAGAATAAAAGAGGAATATAACACTATGGTTTTTGAGCGTTTATCACCTTTTTCTTTGCCCTTGTATCTATTACTGGATTACCAACCAAATCTCTTTAAGCTCCCTAACCACAATAAGGTTCACAGTGGAAATCACACATCAAAGTAATTAGACTGTGAATGCCATAATTGCATCCATAGATGTGTTTGTGAAGGGTTTCTGAGCAGAAAAATTGAAAATGCAAACAAAAGGGAAAAAAAGCAAAGAGAAAAAAGAAAAAAAAAAAAAACTACTTTTCCAAAGCACATCTGTTTTTGCCTTTCAAGATCAAGCAACTGCAGTAATGCTGGGAGTGAACATTTAATAGGGTTGGCAGTGATGCTGCAATCACCATATGGAAAACATTGTGAGTGTGCATTTGTGCATGAGCAAACAGTTTGTGTTGTTTTGAAAAAGTTGTTTGTTTTCTGGTCCATGGTGAAAATGTAGAATGTAAAAGATTAAGATGTGTCTTCCATTGCCCTAGATATGCTTTGTAGATGTTTCTCTCTTGTAACCCTTCTGCAGTCCCCTGACCAAAATAGACTTCTGAAACACGTTCGGGTAGCAACATCTCTCACTGCCAAAGGAGCTTGTTACACTTGGTATAAAGAGCAATACTTCACTAGAACTTAAACAGAAACACCACCAGCCCAGAGCTCATAATTAACATTTAGCCTGATTTAGCTCACTCATAACACAAAGTACTGCATTTGCATCTTTGCCAGGAATTGGTCTTTTTGGACACCGTCTCTGTAAGCTGGGCCTCTGAAGCTTTAAGTGTGTGGGACCCTTTTTCTTATCACTAAGCAAATATCACCTAACAGAAAGCAAAAGAAAGCTCTTTTTTTCCTGTAATAATCTACTTTGGTATGCAACTACTTTTTATTTATAATACAAGCATGTGATGATTTGAGACTTTCATTTTCTTTCAAATGCATATGCTGTCGGACTGATTCCATTTGATTGTGTCTGAACATCATTATCATGGTTTCATTCATACTCATGTCTCTTCATTGGTAAAACTGAGCTTGGGCTGATCAAAGTTACTGAAATTCTGCATACTTGTACATGTACGCAGACATAGCAACCATTAAGTCTCAAGCCATCTGTAGATGGAGTTTTATTTACTCTAAGTCAGGCCAGTGAAGATATGTCTCTTAGAATTACAGCTGGTGCTCATGTAGGAAGGAGCTGCTGCCACCAGTGGGAGTGTGCTGCCCAGGCGAGGAGAAGCTTGCCAGTGGAATGACCTTCACTGGGTCTTCCTTCTTACTGCTGCAGTGTCTATCCAGGGTGTTGTAGAACTGTGGTCGGTTGAACCCTTTGTCCAATTCATCTCTTTTGGGCACAGATCTACCCAGAGTGTGGCGGCCATCCATGACCCCCATGCCACCTATGTTAGCTTTTACTCCCTGGAAGCCAAAGGAGGAGAGCGCAGCAGTGATGGTGGTGGTGGTAGGGGTAGAGGTGGGGCTGTTGCTGCCAGGGCTCTGGAACTGGGCCAGGGTTGGGGGCATCCAGCAGCTGTCAGAGTGGCCCAGTATTAGACACTCCTGGGTGCAGGTCTCAGATGCCTCGGCCAGAGCTTTCTTCAAATTTACTTCAATGGCTGCAAAAAGAACAGAAAGGAGACGGGGGGACAGTTAATAAAACAATTTAAAACACTAAAGGCACTGAACATGTATATATTGTATCTATTTCTGAGGTGATTTAAATTAAATTCACATTAGATGCTGAAGGCATTCAAAATAATCTACACATACGGAAATAAACGTAAATTATTCCATGAATTATACTAAGTGTAATAAAATAGAAGAATAGAGTATTGCATCTAGACTCAAACAAGCAATTAGATTTTCTCCCTGGAAAACATCAGTATTTTTCTTGACCTTGTTTTGTTGAACTTTGAGTTCCTATAAAATAAATCAACCCTTATTCATGTATATGTGGACAGTTGCTATTGGATAGATATTTTTCAATTATCAGAGATCCATCTTGAACAAAGCCTTGATTATAAGAAATCTGTTTGAAGGCCATCTGTGCAAAGTGAAACTAGCTTGTGTCACTTTGCACTTATAAGAAGCAAGGCAGTTTTTTATCTACAGAGATATTTGAGCAATTTGAACATAGTCTGCCTATAGAATATGAATATAAAAGGTGTATTACTTGGGTGATTACTGATATCTGGTGGGAATTTCATATCAACGGTGCCTTCAGAAATACATTTATGCAGTAAAAAGTTTATATTTAGTACTCTTTTTCACTCAGTGCAGGGAGTGAGTTTGGATTTCATCGATTTGAGGTAGTCAATGCACAAAGTGAACTCATGAATCATAAAATAAACAGAAAAAAAGTAGAAGTTATCTGGAGTTGACCCACAAAATGTCAGCCTTTTAGTGAAATGAAAGTCAGTTATAAATGTTTCATTTCATCTTGTAATGAGAAAAACACCAGCAGAGCATTTAATTTCCATTGGTATTCCCTTGACTCTTTCTGTTTACCTACAATATGCGATGAATTCCCTGTTGCTTAATTAGAGTTTGAAAAAATATGTCTCGCTGTTTGTGTCTCAGATTGGCTGTAGTGTGTTAAATATTTAATGAACATCTTAACAAAGCACTGCTTATTTTAATCACTGTCAATGCCCTTTTGATTTCTCAGAATCCAAAACAAATCTGGTGAAATAAGAAAACGCAAAGACCAAATACAGGAGGGAAGAAATTGCCTTGCTTCAGGAATATTGAAAACTCTAGGATAGCACACAAAAGAAACATTTATACAACAAATGAAAATATAAAAAGGTAAACAAAATATATAAAGATCTACAAAAGACAAAGAGACTTGGAGACTCAATCCAATACGCACTGAACCAACATTTATGTTTCCTGCATGGAAAGACGGAAGGAAAAAAGAAGAGCTAATGACAAGACCAGTGTGCAAAGCTAAGGACTCAGAGTATCTTATCTCATTATCCCAACATTGACATCACATGTGGAATGAGTCTGGGATGAGGCTTCAGCATAGAGACTTAGCAATAAAGCCTGTCATGGCAGATAATTAGAATGTAAAACAGTATGCGCCAAAGCAACCCAGAGCCTGCAGTGTTATGTTTCCTGGGCCATGCAAAGGAAAGAAAGGTCTTCATTCAAACATCACATTGCTCCTCTAGGCCCCAGCTTCAAGCTGTCATGCAGAAATTATTTAGTGTATTTGCATAAGTAAGAATGTTATAAATAATTAAGATGCTTTAGACCCTGGCGCAAAGTATAGTAAAGACTATTTCATTGGCCATATGCACTCAATGTAAGGTTTTCACACTGATTTTAGAAAAAAGAAAATGCTACATTGCTTTGTGTTTTTTCAAAGCCTAGATGAAATAAAAAAGACATTTTAAAACAAAATATAGTTTAATTTTGATCTTGATATTGATGCCTCATGTAGATTGGTACAAAATACCTTTCTTTTAGGCTTGTGCTTCAAAGGATTGAATATCTTTGTGCCAGCGTTAATTATCAGAGCAGCGTCTGAAAATGAGTCGCACAGTATAAATTGTGAGGGTATATTTGGACTGCCCCCGTAGAGCCAAATCTGTCCTCTCCATATTGAACTGGAGTCACAGAGCAGGAGTGTATAAATCCCTTGGGCGGTAAATGTGTCACCTTTCAGAGGGTCACTAACTTCATTAAGGCTAAAATGGATGCTGCTTTCTCATTCTCCAAGCTAGCACAATAGGGCCGAGCCAAGTCTCCACCATCAGCCTCAGTCAATCTTTGTCCAAATGTTTTTTTTTGTTTTTTGTTTTTGCTGCTGCTGTAGCAATTTGGGGTCACTAATTGTTTTTTATCAGGGTGCTATAGGTAATGTAAGCATCAAATTCCCACATTTAGAAACAACAAATTTAGCTGTTCTTTACATCTTGAATCTTTATTATATCAATCTGATCTATAAAATCAAATGAGGCAGTGCTAAAAACATTGTTGTCTGCACAGAATAGGGACAGTGATCTATAGCCCTCAGATGCTGCACCAAGCATCAATCTCTATTGATAGGGAACAATTTTATGATTAATAATAAATAATTCCTCCAAGTCTGAAGAAATTCACTGATGGCTCCCACCTGCATTACATAAATCTTACAAAGGCTATATGTGATGGCATCTGAATATTCCATGCTTATGAACATGTTAATCACTCAAACCCATCTCAAGAAATAGCTATAATAAAATAAAATGTCTTGCAGGTTAGGGTTTACAAAGACTATTTTGGTTGCAATCAAGAAATGAGATATCAAAGCACTGCTTCTGATCCATATGAAACATGTTTTGTTAGTCAATGTTTGTCATTGCATGTTCTTAATCGGCATCATCATTTTGTAGTTTTAGCTTTAGAAAATTTAAAAAAAATAATAATAATAATAATAATATATATATATATATATATAATATATATATATATATATATATATATATATATATATATATATATATATATATAATTTATTTGTAATATGAATATTTAAGGTAAAATGAACATAGTGGATGTTTCTGTTACCAAATATTTGTGATCTGCCTAAGGTGCAAGAAGAAAAATTTAAATGTTAGTAAAGAATTAATGTCAATGTTTCTCAAAAATTAAACAACCAATGTAAATCATTGAGGCAGATTACAATACTTCTCAAAAACTTTTATTTTTCTTTAAAATATGTATATGTCCATCTAGGACTCTGCTACATTATAGAACTTAAAACACTCTTTGGCCTTAGCACAGCTTGAACTAATAACAGTTTTATGTCAACAGACTGGTTTTGTATAAAATATTTCTTAAGCTGCCTCACTGAAAGACATGAGCCGGTACTATTTTCAATTCCGGTGGGATAGTTCAGACAGGCTGCAGCGGGTTTGGGAGGGTACAAGGAAGACTTGAGTGATGTCGCTGACAGCTCTCGCTGCTTTTGTCAGCCAGAGGTGCGCCACAGCCCCTTTGTGATGCCGCTGCCTTTTGTATTCTGGGAAAACAACTGTACCCCACGGAGCTTACGGAAGAAATCATACATCAGTGATGCAACAGATCTCCTTGTGTTGTGAACATTCTTCCCTGTGTTCCCTTCAAGAAAATTTGAATGGCAGACAAGTGGGGATAACAGCAAATAATGGTATGTCATAGACAACGAGACTGATTTCAGGCCTACTTTGCCCATTTGTGAAGATTCAGCTTTACTTAGCATTGGTGATGTGGCTAAAATATGTTCCCACAGTGTTTGATGTTCACTGAACATCCAATCAAAGTCTTACTCAGACTCACTGAATCTCACTGTAAAAATCAATTCATGATCTGATTCAAAGCGGTCTGTCCCAGTGGGGAATCTATGAAAAATGCCTTTGTAAAGTCGTTGAAGACATTATGTGACCTATGACATTATGTTTTCTCCTTGATCTTGTGATCATTTACAAAGTGAATACCTTTGGTAGCCCAGAGCCATTTTGTTCTGTAACATCAATACATTATTTAACCTGCCACAGCTCAAATAAACCTGCTTTAACACCTTAAAGGTATTTGCTCATGACTTTTGTCTGTGTGGCAAAACGCAACTGGCAAAAACATTTAATGGAAAAGGGAACAGATGAAGCATTCCTAGATAGTATGTGAAACATGCAAGAAAGCCATATTTTAGTGTAAATATTGTTTAAATTACTATTGAAACCCTTACTGATTTGAAGGAGGGGCCACACAATGTAACCATATCTTTGTCATTCTTGATTAACTTTGGAGTGTGCATTCTGCCTTAGAACAACTTGTAATTCGAAAACAAAGTGAAATGAATCAAATGTTCAGGTTCTTGCTTCAACATACTTATAGAAAGATATGGTCTACGTTATAAAAATAAATGTTCTGAATGGTTTTGTAATGCAAAACACGACCCTGTTGGAAATGTGTCAGGAAATTGCGCTGTGACTGAAATTGGTTGATTTTCAGCTTCATCGATCCTGACCACCAATAAACTGGTTTCAAACTCAGAAGCACAAACTTTTTTTATCTCACTGAATTGCTGAACACACAAAACCCAGGCTTCAGTATCAGAGTGGTGTTTAAAATGACGTTATGGAACCACTGAGATTACTATTTAAAGGGGAAACAGCATTTTATTTTACACATTGAAACGGAAGTTTGTTCGGGCACTGAGAGAATAACAGAGAGTGAGGCATCAGAAGATAAATTAACACAGCTAAGTTGCTCTGTTTTATGTTTCCAAGCTTCTCAACTACTGTCTCAACATGCTTTATTTGAAAATGAGAACCTTTGAAATGGTAAATACCTGTATTTCTGAAGGCAATCAAAAATAGAGTGCTGTTTCAGTTAAGCTAACCTTGCTAACAGCGCTAATTGCTAAAATGTTTAAGATTCCTAAACAAAATGGCAAACACCTATTTTAAAGCATCCACTCTCTGACAAACAACATTGTCACGCCTCCAAAAAATAAATAAATAACCCCATTTTCAGGTGGGACAAACACTATTTTGAGAAAATGTAGGCTTTAGGCTGATTTCAGAGATCAGACATCAGCCATAAACTTATGACTGATGCAACACTGGACTCCATGCATGTCTTAGTT